ACAATGTGACTCCAGCACCATACCTCTGAAGCGCCACGGGAGTTAAAGACATCCTGACTTGAGCTGATTCAAGAACCGACATTACAGCACTTGGAGCATTCCCATAAGCGCTTCGTCGGTATCTTCAGCAGCCAGCGTAGAGTTACAAAACCAATGGTGCCTGTGGCATTCTGATTAAACGCCCGTCTTGCCTTTCCTCTGCGCGTCTAACATCGAGTAGATCGCCTCGTCAGTCCCCACTGCATCAATCTCACCAGAGTGTAGTGATCCATTTGCTCCTGCGAGTTGTGCAAGCTCTCCCCTAACTACGTCTGCCTTTTCATACATTATTATTCCACCAAGTTGTGCGGAGCCAGCCAATCTGTTCGCCTGCTCATTTTCAAACACACCGGAGAAAAAATCCAGAAAATACTTCTCGCCCCCGCAGCGAAGCATGCCACTCTGCAGGAAGCATGCCTGTCCTGACTGACCTTCAGGCATGCTTCGTGCAGAGTGGCATGCTCCTTAGACGTCCTTATAAGACCTGCCACAGCAACAACTACAGTAACGGATTTCAACCGTAAGGGTCGCCATCATTTAAGAGTCGCGATGGAAATTTATGTTGGGTCGCCAGGCAGCGGCGATGACGACACTTTTTTAACGGTTAAAAAAAAAAAAACTCCCTCACAGTAAATATATACTGATAAATCCCGCCGGAGTGTGATTTTATTTACCTTATTTTTTTTTTAATGTATGGGGTTGTTGTTCGCATTGCCTCAATAAAATGCGGTCAGGACTCGAAAAAGTCATGCATCGGAGACCGAGTCGCCCACTGGCGATGACTTCGTCGCCGGTCGGGACAGTATTTGGGTCTGTCTCCTTTGAGTCTGTCTCCTTTGATCGCATCGATACTGCAAGAGTTCTGTTCATGGCTACTTGGTAGCGAGAAAGGCTAAGACATTTTATATGGCGCACATAACCTAGTCACAAGAAGAAGAAGAAGAAGAAGAAGAAGAAGAAGAAGAAGAAGAAGAAGAAGAAGAAGAAGAAGAAGAAGAAGAAGGAAGAAAGAAAGAAAGAAAGAAAGAAAGAAAGAAAGAAAGAAAGAAAGAAAGAAAGAAAGAAAGAAAGAAAGAAAGAAAGAAAGAAAGAAAGAAAGAAAGAAAGAAAGAAAGAAAGAAAGAAAGAAAGAAAGAAAAGAATTCGTAAAGAAAGAAAGAGAGAAAGAACGAAAGAAAGAGAAAAAGAAAGAAAGAAAGAAAGAAAGAAAGAAAGAAAGAAAGAAAGAAAGAAAGAAAGAAAGAAAGAAAGAAAGAAAGAAAGAAAGAAAGAAAGAAAGAAAGAAGAAAAAGAAAGAAAGAAAGAAAGAAAGAAAGAAAGAAAGAAAGAAAGAAAGAAAGAAAGAAAGAAAGAAAGAGAGAGAGAGAGAGAGAGAGAAAGGAAAAGAAAACAGAGAAGGTATTTAAGCGGTAGTTTTGGAAAGACATGGAATTTCTCACACTTTATCTAGCAACCTGCCCGCTAAGCAGACGTTTACACATTTTCATATACAACATTCTCTTTCACAACAATGAACCTGGCACAGCAAACATGGAAGGGAGACCTTGGCAGCAAAAACATCTGTTGCTATTGCTGCCACATCTGGAGACCACAGACTCTCACGTGTGGACTGGGCCAGTTTCCTGAGAAGAAACAGTGTGGGGGAGAAACCGCTAGCCTAGCTCATTCTGACCGGTTCTTTCATAAGTTCAACTTACGTTTCAAGTTCTAGGGAGAAGACAAATGAAGTAGTAGTGGTGGGGGTAGTAGTTGAAGTAGAAGGAGCAGCCGCAGCAGTAGCAGCAGCAGTGGTGGTGGTGGTACGAGCAGCAGCAACACCACTACTACTAGCAGCAGCAGCAGGAGTAGTAGTAGTAGTAGTAGTAGTAGTAGTAGTAGGAGCAGCAGTAGCAAAAGCAGCAGTAGTAGCAGCAACAGCAGCAGCAGCAGTAGTAGCAGCAGCAGTAGCAGTAGTAGTAGCAGCAGCAGCAGCAGCAGCAGTAGTAGCAGCAGCAGCAGTATTACAAAAAGGAGGAAGAGGAGGAAAGGAGAAGGGGAGGAGAAGGAAGAGGTGGGGCGGTGGTAGAGGACGAGAAGAAAAAACATAGAAGAAAGGAACTAAATGGTGTCACTGTCGAAACCAACGCAAGACGACCTGCTGTCGTATTGTCTGCAGCTGAGATCGAAACGTCTAAGCCAGAGACGCCGACTTTAGTGTATATAGTTCTCTTTTTAGGCACCTGTCTGTAAATTCAATACTACTTCAAATATTCTTCTTATTCTACTTCTAATCTACTTCTTATATTTATATGCGATTTAGTCTGGGTGTCGGCTTTGTGGCTAAGTTGATGCGAACGCTTCGTAATGCCAGGATGGCGGGTTCAATCCAAGCTGCGTGCCATGTGCCTTGCGTTGGTTTCGACAGTGGTATCAAGACAGCCGACTGTCCAGAAAGCAATGGCAAACTACTGGACGTAAATTTGCCTAGAAAAACCACACAACAGCCAGGGGCTGCTGGGGTTGGTTCTGCAACGTCCTGTAAAGGAGACGCAAATAACCTTAGTCTGGGCAATAACTAGAATCAACAGTTATAGGACAGCGACAGTGGCGTTTTCTTGGACAGATCGACAGCAGCAACAACAACAACAACAACAAAACAGCAGAGAATCACCAAACAGGCAGAGGCACAAAGGTGCTGGATTGGATTCCATCCATTATACTGAACTGATTGCTGACGATAGTTCGGAATAGAAGCACAGACTGCAAGCCCTATGTGATATATAATGGCTCAACAGGACAATGATGATGATAATAATAATTACTCTGTACACCCCTAAACCCCCCCCCCTCCCGCCCCATATTTGTTTCTGTGTGTCGGCGACCCCAGTCATGACTAAACCCCTCTCCCCTGGGTACTGGTCTGCAGAATCAAGCCGTGAGACAGGAACCTAAGAGCAGCAGCCCAACAACAAACACACGGAACAGTGTCAGGTGGTGTGGATTCCATACATATTGTTATATGTCTCGCAGACAAGAGAGGGAACGGAGACATGGCTGATGTCAGGTGAGAGTTGGCGAAAGGAAAGCGTAAAGAAAAAAAAAACAAGAAAAACAAACAAACAACGATATGAAACAATCTACGCCCATCTTGAAGAAACAAACAGAAGTCACTGGGTTCTCTCTCTCTCTCTCTCTCTCTCTCTCTCTCTCTCTCTCTCTCTCTCTCTCTCTCTCTCTCTCTCTGCTTATCTCCCTGTTCTCTTTCTAGTTCTGCTCATCTCAGTCCTATCTGGCTATTCCCACCCCAACCCGTCTAGTACAGCTCCGAGGAGTGGCATTGTGTTTGGCAAGAACCAGCATGCCACACCGTAACAACGGGAACTGCTGCCGGAATAGCCTTGATAACTGATGGCTTTGTTTTCGAAGCTCTCTCTCATTTTTACTACTTAACAAAGCGATTATTTTGTTTCAAATATGAAATGTGCATTTATGTGGTGACTGATTCTCTCTCTCTCTCTCTCTCTGTCTCTCTCTCTCTCTCTCTCTCTCTCTGTCTCTCTCTCTCTCTCGGTGTGTGTGTATGGGTGTAAGGGTGTGTATATGTGTGTGTAAATATATATATATACACGTTTGCGGAAGTGTGATGAATGAATGGCGTGTGTGCATGAATGTGTGGAGATTGTGCATGTATGTGTGGCGATTATTCATGTATGTGTGGCGACTGTGCACGTGACGACTCAAAGCAGATAGGTATGTAGACAAAGGGGGTAAGTAATACAATTAGGTAAGCATTCTGATTCAGCGTCTGTGGCGTTCATAATGCCGAGGTGCCGGGTTCGATACCAGCTGCGGACGGTTATCTTGCGTTTGTTTCGACAGTGGTACCGAGAGCTGGACGTTCAGGGGCAATGGCAAACTACTGAAGGTAAACATTTGCCTAGAACACCCCCCCCCCCCCCCACACACACACACACAACAGCGGAAACAAATATTCTCAGAACATGTTTTGAAAAATTAAAACTGGCGTCCTGCACGAAAAGGGACATCCAGCACCTGATAAGACTCAGACCAGGAGCCTATCGTGGATTTTCTGTCCAAGTGTGCAGGGTAATATGCAAGCTGTGAGATTGGCTGCTGCCGCTGCTCAGGACAGTGAGCTATTTCATGAAAAGCAGAGGGCGGTGAAGGCTCTCTTGAATCAAATGGACAGTGCAGACGGAGAATGCATACACTGAAAGACAAATCCAGTGGAGGGTAACCAGAGGTCCTGGAAGATATTTAACACTGAGGGAGGTGCGAGGGATTGTAAGTTGGTCTTTCCTCTTGAGCCTAAGGCGGCGCATAGGGCAGAGGTCATAGCTCTCCATGTCTGGCGGTTCGTTGCCACCAGATTTAGGTCTTGGGTATTCATTAGGCCCATAGTTGAGCCTTCCATGATAACGGTTCTAAGCAGAGTCTCTTTTGGTCTTCCCTGTTTTCGTTCCCCTTACGATATCCATGTGAGGGCTTGATGGCAGAGTCTTGTCTTATCCATTCTGAGTGCATGGCCCATGTCATTCCAGGGGCGCTTTCTTATAAGACTGGATACATTATCTTGCTTGGTCTCTTGTCTTATTTGCGTATTGGATCTGATATCTCTCCAGTGAAGATTCGGTATTCTTCTAAGATAACTGTTCTCAAAATTGTCTAATTTTTTTATCGACAGCTACTGTTGCTTTCCATCTCTCTCATCTGTAAGTTAGTACTGGAACCACACAAGAGTTGAAGATCTTAAGTTTTATGTGTTTGTGGAATGGCTTTGACTTCCAGATGTTTTGACAGTTTAGAAAAGGCGCTAGATGTCCGTGTACCCGGTACGATTAGCATGTCAATTCTTCGTTGACTAACGAGAGAGACTTCATTCAGCAAGAGACTGGACTGGTTAGCGAGAAGAGCGGTAGAAACAGAAGAACAAATCAAAGACAATGCACGTATAAACTCACCCTTCTGTTCTTCGCCAGCCTAGCCGCCAACGGATCCCGACCTCCGCGCCTTGACTGCCGCAGCTCAACCAGGCTCAACAGTGACTCCCTGGACTGCATCAGCACCCTCATGTCGGAGGCGCTGCAGGCGTTGGTCACATGCATGGCGTGGGACATGGACCCGGGCGTGGGTGCTGTGGTGCTGGTGCTTATGCTGCCCAAACTGTTGGTGTTGATCAGGATCGTGTGACGGGAATCCGTGCGAAAGCCACCTGTTCACATAACACAGAAGTTCTATAGAAAACAATCGGCAACACTACTTTTATAGGATAATAATTAACGCAGTCTGACTAACACATCACTTCTGACACAAAGAAGGATACCTTTGTTTGCCCGGGAAAATATAATATGGACTATTTTGTTTTGTGTTGTAGACGTGTCAAAACTTGGATCCTCGCTACAACTACGTGCCCTGCCCGACTGGCATCTCCACAGATATCGGTCCCTTTGTCACCCGGATCAGTTCCACCGATGAAACCCCTCCGTGCCACCGTCACAATCCATCCGTCATCATCTCTCCTTCGGTCTGCCTCTCCCTCTTCTACCGTTCATGTTCGCAGTCGTCATAAGGTAAAGGTAAGGTAAATGGTGAGAGAATCGACTATAATGCACCGGGCTTTATCCCATATGGCCCCGTCTCTCTCCGCAGAACAGCTAGATGCCTGCAGACAGAGTCACACAGAGAACGACCTTCGTAGCTCCAGCGACGATCATTGTAAAAACTGACCTCGTGAACTGAACGGCGCGCGCGGTGAAACGAACCAGCGACATCCAGAGTGCCACCACTACGCCATGGAGACACCCAATCGTCACAATATTCTCCAAAGCATCCCCCCCCCCTTTTCCCCCGCTGACCAGAGAACACTGCTTGTCTTGTCCGTAAAGCTACATATATATTGATCTTTTCTCCATTAGCTTTGTGGCTTACAATTTTCCCGCTGTGGACAGTTTAAAAAAAAAAAAAAACTCGTTGGTTGTTTTCGGACAACAGTGCGAGACTGGAAGAGACCGCGGCTCACCATGTAACATCCCCAAAGACAACCGATGTTAACACTGTAGTCAATCTTCATTGGGGAGATGATAACAGATATCTTTATCGCTTACAACTTCTTCTTTTCTCTACCCCTGGAATGACTCGCGGTGTCAGGGCAGGAAAAGATCTCTGGAACGGGTCTTTCTGTTCATCACACTAGAAAAAGAAGAACTACCTATATCAAAATCGATGAATACCAGTTAAAGCAGGCGAAGGATTTTAGATATCTAGGGAGCATTGTTTCAGAAGGCGAAAGAAATCCAACAAAGATGCAATAAAGCCAATCAAGTTTTAGGCCAAATGGCACCAATTTTAAATGGCTAGTATGTAAATATGAACATTAAAAATTCAACACAAGTAAAGAGCACAAAATGATAACAACCGAGATTTGTCTCAGAAAGGCCCTAAGAGCAGCGCGAAATAATAAAATACAAAATCTACATGAGATGGTTCGGTTATCTGACAACAATGTCCCGATGATGCCAGCTAAAAGAATCCATGCTGAAGAGGAAAGTGACCACCCACAGCAAGGGGAGAGACTACGCAAAAGATGAAACATAAGCACCAAGAGAACAACGGCCTTGACGAACTGAAGATCAGCTTATACAATAGAGCAGTGTTTCTCACTCCCCCCCCCCCCCATATGCCCACCGCCCCCGCCCCCACCTTTTTTTTTAACAATCAAAACGCTCAGCGCTATCTCTTGCTGTAACTCTTTCAGTTCTTGAGGATTCATCATCAGAGGCCCAAGGGATAGCAGAGAGAAACGTAAAATTAGTGCATCTTGCGTTTCTTGGGCTTCCAAGTAGGAACCTATAAATACAAGATGCATTGCTTGGACTACTTAAATCATTTCAGTATTCCCAGTTAGTTGGTTAGTCAGTTAGTTAGTTAGTTACTCGACAGATTATCCTCGCTGCACATCGTAAGCTAAATGTCGACTGATTTGAGCGAAGAAGGAGTGCATGTGCATGAGAGGTAAGGAACCAACAATCTGCATATAAATAAGTCAGAAATGTAAAACGGATTTAAACGCAACCTTAGTTTCTAGAACAAGACTACAAAGTCCAGAGGTGGACAAGCAGCCACAGCTTTCCGTCAGATTTTACAGCCAGTGAGCGCCAAGTTGAAGAAGACCACTTCGCTGCACGAGATTTCTTCACCGCTCTCTCTTTCTCTCTCTCTCTCTCTCTCTCTCTCTCTCTGTCTGTCTCTTTTAGCCTCTCTGTCTCTATTCGCCTCTCATTGTCTCTATTCGCCTGTCTATTCGCTCCTCTCTGTCTCTATTCGACTCTCTCTGTCTCTATTCGTCTCTCTGTCTCTATTTGACTCTCTCTCTATCTCTATTCGCCTCTCTCTGTCTATTCGCCTCTCTCCGTTCGTCTCTTTCTTTGCGTCTTTCTCTCTCTCTCTATTCACCTTGGTCTCTCTCTCTCTCTATTCACCTCTCTCTCTCTCTCTATTCGCCTCGCTTTCTCTCTCTCTATTCGCCTCGATCGTTATCTAATTGCCTCTCTTCACCCTTCTCTCTATTTGTCTCTCTCTACTCGCCTCGCTCGCTCTATATTTGTCTCTCTATTCGCCTCGCACGCTCTCCTTCTACTCGCCTTGACCGATCTCTATTCGCCCCCTCTATTCGCCTCTCTCTCTCTCTATTCGCCTCTCACACACACACACACACACACACACACACACACACACACACACACAGAAGCACAGCTGTAAAACCCACTCATATTTTGGTACTTTCATGTTAGGACACAACAAACATGCCCTCACAGCCGTTGATGACCAGCTACCCATTATATCGTCGACACGAAGAAACAGACGACCGTAACATCTGTTGAGAGACGCCAAAGTTGACAGTATGTATACATATATATATATATATATATATATATATATATATATATATATATATATATATATATATATATATATATATATATATATATATATATATAGATCTGGACGAGTCAATCATGTGTGGGCTCTGTGAAGCAAGGGTTAGGGTGCATTTAATAATCGTGGACGTTATAGGCTTCGATTTCTGGCACGAGGGGGGAGGGGGTGTTAGGAGGGAACCCAACATTGTGGCCTTTAAACAATGATAGTTCAAGATGGGACATGCTGCTGACGTCACCAAACCGGGCTAAGGAAACCTTAACGCAACGATTCTCAAACTGGGTAACACGGCACTCAGGGGTGCCGCGAGCGTATGTCAGGGGTGCTGCGGCAATAATCAAGAATATTTTCAAAATCTGCTTGACATTAAATCTGCACCGTGTTTTTCTTCTTTTCTTAAGTATTCAAACCACTTGAAGGGTTGGTGTGCCAAACACATTTTTTTGCCAGACGATAAAAGTTTGAATAACGCTGTGTTAGCGTATCGTTAGCCCGGTTTGGTGACGTCAGCAGCATCACCAGCCAGTGGATTCTCTCTCAGTCTCTCTCTTTCTCCCTCTCCACCGCCCGTGGCGTAAAGCCGTTCCCACAAGGCGCCAAACGCCAGGGCTGCAAATAGGTTAATGGCTGCGATTAGCACATGATGCTATAATAACGCTGACCTGAATACGCAGCAATAGCGTTCGGAAATATCCGCTAGCTTAGACAGATGTGCACTACTGTAGAGGACAAAGAGGTTCCAGGCTATTACTGATAACTAAGATATATAATACTACGGCTGCTGGAACTGCTGCTAACTAAGAGAACTACATTGGCCACTATTGCTGCTACCACTACTAGTATAACTGATGCTACTTATACATCTACTACTATTTATAAATTACTACATACTTCGACCACTACTACTGCTGTAACCACTACTAATATTGCTGCTGCTGCTGCTACTATAGCTACTGCCGCCAATTCTACTGTGCCGATTACTACTACAACACCGATAATGCGACTACTACCATCACCACTGCTACCACCACCACTATTACAACTGCTACGACCACCACCACTATTACAACTGTTACGACCACCACCACTATTACAACTGCCACAACCACCACCACTATTACAACTGCTACGACCACCACTATTACAACTGCCACCACCACCACCATCACAACTGCCACCACCACCACCATTACAACTGCTACGACCACTTAATGCATGGTGTGACACTGTGAGCTGCGGATTTCATTTAAAATGTTTTTTCGACTGTGACCAACGTGGTGGTGTGAATTGTAAATTCAGAAAATGGCGTGATGCCTGTCGTCACAATGTTGCTGGTGCCCGTGTGTGATTAAAACTGATCGCGTTGGCAACTGCTGATCTGTTGGTGACTTCTGCTACCATCAATGATGAACTGCATTTATAATGTCGAACTGTTTGTGTTAGCACTTCGGATGGCTACCGTATGCTTTAATGCGTGTGTATGCTAAATATGCTGAGACAGCAGTCTGTCAATCATTCCACAAGGAACTGTGATAAACATTATGTGTGTTGTTTCGTTGGCTCAGGAGCGGAGCAAAGATGGGGTGACCCGTTTGCTATGAAGCTGAAACTAAGACTACTACCAGACCAGACCAACTGCTACCACCACCACCAACGTCACATCTTTTATCATTACTACTATCTATATTATCACAACGAACGCCACCACAACCATCACTACTTCTTTTGCCACTATTACTGCTGCTGCTACTGTTACCAATACTGACATAGCTATTATCCCCACTACTAAAACCACTACAAAGACAACTACTACCACTACCAGCACTATTACTGCCATTACTACTACTTTTACTACAACTATAATGACTACTAGTAATACTAACACTTATCACTACTAAAACGACTACTAATCCTAACTACTTCTGCTGCTGCTGCTGCTGCTGCTGCCGCTGCTGCTGCCACCGCCGCCGCCACCACCACCACCACCCCACCCCACCACCCCACGACGACGACGACGACGACGACGACGACGACGACTACTACTACTACTACTACTACTACTACTACTACTACTACTACTACTACTACTACTACTACTACTACAACTACCGCTGCAACTATCACACCTACTGCTGCTATCGCTAATATCACAACTCATCATCATGTAGCAGGTCCTTTGCAGAACGCCGCTCTCTTCACAGTCTGCCTAAAAGAAACTCGTTGTCTCGCCAGTTCTCCTGCCTCATTCACTTTCACACTCAAGGAGTCACTTAT